TCAATGTTTCAATAACGTTTACCTATTATTTACCAACTTTGGTACAAGGTACTAAAATATTGTACGAAAATAAGTGTCAAAGGCGAAGAAGACAGATTTCAAGAATTCATCGTAGAGACAATAGATTTGTATTATTGTACACAAGAAAAAACTCATTTCATTAGACTGATTTAAAAAATTAAGAAAATATCTTTTCTAATTCGTATAAAGACTATAAAATAAATTATATTTTTATAGCATGTATCAATTATTAATCATTAATGTATCTACTGTCTTAATGTGATAAATCATAAATAGAAAAAAGTGAATCTTCCCCTTATCACCACAGAAAAACTTTCTAGATTCAATATTGTAACAGAAACTTCGAATTATTCACGAAATATTCGAATTAAACACGAGTCACGACTACCTACGTGTGTATAACAGATAAGTTCCCTATAATTATTGTTGTATATGATAATATATAAGCCGGCACAAATACTCACCTGCAGTGACTCCACTGCCAAACATTCAAATGCTAGCTTCAACGCCATCGATGTTAAGGATATGCCTTGTAATTGTTTTTTATTTATACACGTTCATTGCAGCAATTAAACTTCATCCGTAAGAAAGATATATCCAAGATTCGACATTTAGCCATTATTAACAAAAATCATAGATTCCCCAAGAGAACGCCGCACTAATGTATGTTGCCTCAAGTCTCCGTCTTACAAAAATACAACATACCAAATTTGTGTTCAGTAGATCCAATTTTATGTAGTAATTAATAATTAAATGAAATCACTTATTATCAAACTATAAAAGGTAAGAATTTCTGATTTTTGCCTTGATTTTGCTGGAATATTAGTTACATGTTTTAATTACAAAGCAAATTTACCAATTTCTAATCAACATATTATACCAGAATTCAGTGGCGCCGAACCTATACATGAACTGAAGCGATCGCTTTATATAATAAAGAGGGTGGATGGTTTTAATTATATTTGTGTTATTTTTTTGACATTACTTAATACCTAAACTAAATAATTAAATAAATAACTAATTATTAGTTATTAGAGGTATACAAAATATTATTTCCTAATCCATTTATCAAAATATTATGATTTTGCTTCACTTAAATTTATGTGACTCGGCGCCACTGCCAAAATTACATTTAATTATTATGGATTTGTTTATTAAATAAATTGATAAAATCAAATTTTAAAATAGGTTTAAATGAGAAATAGCAATGCAAAGCATCTACAGCAAAAAATGTAAATCGATTTTTAAATAGTTGGCAGAAAATAATAATTGATTATTCTTTGTCAATGAAAATTGTAAATGTATATTTACACGGACTGTATTTTAGTGTCTCGATTTGTAATTTTTTTTTAATAACAACCTAAGATAGAACCTTTTTAAGAAAAACTAGCGGTGATATTAATTAAACAGATATGTACATTAAGTTATTACCTGTATAGCACCTGATAAGACAATCTTTCGGCTGCCTTTGCTCTTGTGTGTAAATTATAATCATTATGAACTGTAATGAATAAAGGAGCGAAAAATATCAAAACTGTCGACACAGCAATTTTCTAAACATTGAACAGCAACATCTTTTTTTTCAACTGAATACTTGTAATATTTTGATCCCTCTTCTAATCAGTATAAAAACAAAATCGATTTAAGATGTTCCACAGCGATTTTTAATTGATATTGTGATTTACACGCGCAAGATTGTGTACACAAATAGACAACATGATTAGAGGAGGGGCAATTGTAATTTAGTAGTAGGTATTTAAATTATTTCAAAATTATAAGGTGATCTAAAAATGGACGATAATTTATGTTTGTTCTATACCCAGTTAAACAACTGTTACAATTTATAAATAAACTGCCATCCAATATCTGATCAACAGGTACAGATAATACAAAATCTTATCCCACAATTTAATATTAAAATTACAAGTAGATGTTTCAAAATCACAAATCAGTATAATTTTTGTCTAACTAAAGGTATCTAAAAATAATTAATGTTGATCAAGTTATGAAATATTACCTGAATTATTGAGGTATAAAAACCAACCCATATATTATTACATATATCAATGACGAACTAAAGCTATTATCTTTTAGCGAGCTCTACATAATTATTTTAATTGTATACCTACTTATTTATTATAAACTGTTATTGTAATATGCTATTTATTTTTAAATTTAATTATGTTGAATTGATAAATTATATTATGCTATTATTATATTTTATTCTCTGATTATTATTATTAAGTATAAATGTACCTGTCCATTAAAATTAAATTAATAAACAATTACAAAAAAAAAAAAAAATAATAACATTAATTCTAAATTTATATTATTGTATTCAATTTTAATAGAGCCAAAATGCCTTTTATGTGTTACTTAAATTATAAATTAAGGATGAACTTATAGTTTCCCTTTTTCATAGCACCTTTGTTTAAACTTGAAAACTGATCAAATTCTTTATTATATTTTTCTAAAACATGAGCCAAATAGTCACACATGTTATTATTCATGTTTCTAGAAAAATATTACCCAATGCAAAGAATTACAATACTTGAAATTAGAATTTTAAATAAATAACTTTTATCTACTCATATAACAGAAACATTTATTTGAAATTCAAATCTTTCTTCTAAAATTTAAAAATGTAAAATCATGTTCAAACAGAAATCTTCCAAATTATTCTAGATAGAATTGTATTACATTTTTAAATATTTTTAAATATGTATTAAACTATTTTAAATTTCAGATAATTATATGTTAAAATAAAATAAATTTCTGATTTACAAATAATGACTGTTATTTATTAATAATGATTTAAATTATAGAAAGCTAATTTACAAGGTGTTAAATAAAATAATATAACAATTGATAAAATTATGTTTACCTACTTTGTTAAAACTTATAAATAGTTGCAGTTAATAAAACATTATTTTTCATTTAAATAACAATTACAGAAAATGTAGTTACTATTTAAAATTCAAAAGTTAATGATATTTAATTGAATAAAAATCTAGCTAAAATTTATAAAATTATTAATAAAAATCAAAATACACGTTTAAATGTCTTGTTCAAATAGAATTAAAATACTAAGTCATTTAATTAATTAATGAATCAATTTATAAATTAATTTATACATAACACATATTATTTTTACACACTGTGATTACAATTGTCAATTATTAACAATGTTTAAAGACTAAAATATTGTGGTAAATTTAAAGATTTTTTTGCAACTATTGTTTAAATAATTAATAGATATTGTAGTTATGGTATAAAGTAAGCTGACATATCGTTCTTCTAATTAAACTGTAAACTTATGGTTTTTGCCATATCGTTGTTAATAACTAAGTAAATTTGTACCACAATAAAAAGTATTATATATAGGGTATTTTGTATTATATTAAATAATATATAAATATACCATGACAAAAAAAAAATAAATAAATTATTCATACAGTAAAAATATAATAAAAATAAAATTGAGATCAAAATGGTCAAAAAAAAAAAAAAAAATCTTAATTAATCCATAAAAATTGGAAAAATTATTGAGCAAAAATAAAATCTACAAAAAGCAAGTGAATATTATTAATGTGATAATTGATGTCTCACTGAAAATGTAAAATAATAAATATTAAAACTATACATAACAAAAAATATGATGTATTTTTAAGATTAATACTTGTAAACATTTTGAATTAGCCATGTTATCTAGAATTTGGACATTAAAATTTAAGTTATAATACAATTTTAAAAACTTCTTAATTTCTTTTTTTATAAATTATTTAATTTAAAATTAAAAATTGTAGTTGTAACATTTATAAAATCAACTATAAATCTTAGTTGTGTTTTTCTTAAAATACCCACAGGTATTGTTTTACTTTTGACCAACACATTGACTGCGTAGGTCTTTTAGTGATTCTCGTTCCAGTGCAGTAGTATAATTATAAGAGGGATTTAAATGAGAATCCCCCTCTATGACTATTTTTTAAAGACTGGCATACCATATGTATGTACTTATTTAACACTACTATAGTATAATTAGTATAAGTAATAAACTCTTTTGCCCAAGTAGGTAAATTATATTATGTTGTATTATGGTACAAAAATAAATTACTGAATGGTTAATTAATATTAATTCTTTGTAAAGTAACGATATACATAAACAATGTGATATCAATAATGTATGACTATATCAGTTAAAAATGATTGTTTAAATATTATGTACCTATTTGTTTCCTTGTACACATACTTTTACATGTGTATTTATATTATACACATCACAATGTTTATATTAAAATGTAGCTTATAATACATATTAACATTTTTTGGGGAGTAAAGGTATAATGTACAAAAATGTCATCCTCTGTTCCCCCTCACTCACACAAAAAACACATACATAATCAAATTATGCCACTACTTCAATATGTACATATAATAAATTCAATAAATAAAAACTGCTTTTATAATATATGGTATCACTACTGACTGAAATATGTGAATACATATTTTAAAAATTTATCTGCACTAATGATCAAAAAATTTTAGTAACACTTATCAAAAGTATATTTAATGCCAAATGGTACTGAATGATCCTAAGAACATCAATAGGCATCAGAATGCAGTCAACATGTTAAAGTATTAAGGAATATTTAATTTAAATAATAATAAATGTAATTTTAAGTTATTAACGTCCAAATGTCTAGTTACAATTGTATAATAGTTAATCGTCAATCAGTGGTGTACTGTGAACAAAAATATTTAAACTATTATAAGTTAATGTATTTATAACAACACATATTTAGATATAATTATTTTAAAAATATTATATAAATTGTTGGTGTGATATCACAAAGTTTCATTTAAACTCGATACATACATACAAGTACAATACATATCAAATATTAATTAATAATATTAATAAAAAAAAAAAAAAAAACAGTGATTTCAGCAAGTTTAAACTTTTAATTTAAAATGTTTGAAGAAATTTAAATAAAAAAATATGTGAAAAAAAAAACTTAAAATGTTGATAAAAATAAAAATAGTGTTAGCTATCATTCATAGTACCATTTATGACTTTTTTTATGGTACTATTGGTAACATCAATTTCATGGAGTTCGACTGATAATATGTTGGAGAAACATACATGGTCATTTTCAATTGGTTCTCCACAGCATTCACAATTTACTACCTATGAATATATATTGATTAATTCAAAATATATTGATGCATATTTTTTTCCTTTTATCTTTAAATAAATGTCTTGGATGATAAAAAAAAAAATTATAGTAGCTATAATTAAAACTCAACCTTGCTTCTTTACTAGCCTTCAAAAAATTTGGGCTTTACAAAAATTATAATTCCAAAAAAAGGCAGCTAAAAAAGAGTATGGTCTTATTTCCCATTATTAAAATTAATTTTGTAAATTTTATTAATTATTTATAAATTATAATATTTTAAAAAACAAATTGGTATTGTATTACTGCATACTTATAATATTACTCTTAAGCTCTTTTTGTATATAAAATAAATAATAATTGCATAAATTTAAATTAAATAAAATTAATAAACTACTATACTTTAAAATAAGAGACTGATTAACCATCTTTTTGCTTAGAATAATTTTCTTTAAACAATGATTAATCATAGAATTCACATTTATCACATTAATTACAGTGATATACTCTTATTAAATAACAAAATATACACAAAACTAACAATATAACAGAAACAAGTTTTGTGACTTTTTTATAAATTTAAACTTATCAGCACTTTAATGTATTTTTTCTGAACGATACATGAAATTATGAACTGTAATAATAATTGTCATTACTATGACTAAATATATTGAATTGGGTTAATAATTATGAACATGTTATCAATTTTAAACATAAGAACCTCTGTCTGTGGTGTTTATATAAATGTTTTCATATCTTTTGAAGCGAATTATATGCACTTTTAAATTGCGATATTATACAAACTCATAACTTACTTTACAATTGAAATATTAAAAAAAAAAACTAATAAACAAACAAAAGTAATATTATAAACAATAGATTTCTATTGTTTCTTCATAGATTAATTCACACTACCATTAAAGTTAATAATATAAAAAAATGGTACTAATAGTGCATTATGATCCTGTACTATTAAAATCAATCTCTGAAATTATCTCACCATCATGTAAATTTTCCATTTTTTTTTTTTTGTTTTTTTTTTTTAAGTATTTAATAACTATTTTAAATTACGAAAAGAAAATATCTATAAAATAATGTGTTCTTTGTTTAAAGAATCATTCAATATAATATATAAGTAAATATGTGTCACAAGCATCAATTGTAAAAAAAGTTATGAAAAATAGGTTGAGATAGGGTTATAAGGAGATGAAGCTTGGAAGCTGAGAATAACTATAAAAATTAATACAGAATAAAAAAGAGAAAGACAAAACATGGATACACAGAATAGACACGATAATAACGAGTATTGCTAAAGGTGAGCGAGTGTGACAAGACAAACTCATATGAAAGTGTAAACAAAGATGACCAACCCCAAAGTAAGAAGCAAAAGGTAAATAAAATAAAGAAGATATAAGTATTGTAGTAATATACAATCACATATCAAGTAATAAAAGTGGCAGGTGCATGGTGTTTAATGGAAAAATACCTTTCGAGTGTCAATTTCAAACTATGAAAGGTTCATAACACACAAATACCCAAAAAATTGGATCTTCTGAATACAAATTTAGTATGTGGTAAATTAAGTTAACATATGTATACTGTGTTCCAAATAAGATGACTTGTACATAAATGACTGAATTACATTCAGAGTAGATCACTTGCCACCACCCGCATAGCAAAATCAGTCGTCACGTAATGCTGCCTAACCGATGTGTTTCCATGCAGCCCATTAGCCACGCCCACTGTGCACAAATGCAAGTCATGTTATTTGAAACAGAGTATAGATATGTTTTTTTTTATAAATGATGCCATACTCGTGGCACATGTGTTGTCACCATTATACAATATTAAAACATAACAAAATACAGCAGTTCCAATTTTATGTAACTAAATAAAAGCTAAGTATTTTATTTTATAGCAATACATGAGCATTTTTAAATTGTGATATTTTATTAACTAATCTCATTATAACCCTTTGGTTACAGCATAGAATAAACTTTATTAAAATAACTTTTTTTACAGAAATGTCTATTCCATACTGTTTTAAAAATAATATATATGTTAATTAACCTTAGGTTGTTAACCAACTTTTGTCAAACCACATCCAGTGATTAAATCAGTTTTTATTTTTGATGATCAACTAGGACTGAAACTTTGATTTATTGTGTTAATCTTATAAAAATGCAAGCTAGATGGTTGCCAGAGTAATAAGTAATTCTCTAAGACCACACATTAAGCACAGTTTATCATACCCATTGCTGCTGCTAAACATAAAAGCTCACTGCTCAAGGTTAATTTTATTTGAAACAAAATATATATATATATATATATATATATATATATAAGACAATGTTATTAGATACTATTGGCACATACATGACAGCAGTAATCAAAAGATTTATGAAATTATTTAATTTTAAAAACAGTTTTTTTTTTTTTTTGTAAATAAAATTGAAATAATAATGTAAATAACAGATAATTATCTTACTTTTATAGTTAATATAATAAATAAATTCACTTTAACATAAAAAATTGGAACTGGTAAACTCAAATTTGCTATGTTGTACATTTTCTAGCTGAGACAACACATAGAGTCTTTTTAACATGTTAAGTAACAATTTAAAATATTAAAAACCTATGGTTTAAGATGAGCTAATGGGAAATTAAGAATATAGATTTTAATTTTACCAAAATTGACCTTTTAAAATTAGAGATTATCAATAATTTTCTAAACATTGATATTAAGAAACTAAAATATACCTTTACAGCATAATAATTTTTTTGTCGAGCAATCCTTTTTAATATTCTATTTCTTGCACGCTCTTTAGCACGGAATTCAGGATCCATTCTTCTTTGACGCTGTCTTTCTTTATCTCTTTCTTTTTTTATTCGATTAAGATTTTCCAATTCTACAATATCCACATTTTCTAACCTAAAAATAAAATATAAAAAATTGAAATGTTAAAAAAATAATCAATCTACTAATTTATCTTACAATGATGTCATTTTATTACAATCAATATTAGATTCCGAATATAATTTATCAATTTTATCACCATAAAGGCCTTTAGATCTAGATAGTCTTTTAGCAATTGTGTTTTTTCCTCGCTCAATAGCTCTTAACTCTGGATCTAAACGTCTTCTTCGTTGTCGTTCACGATCACGTTCTAAGCGACGTTTTCTGGATTGTTCTCGTTGTTCATCTGTCAATGGTCTTCTGGGCATTTTTATACTGTGTAAATATGAAAACTATTTAACTTCAATATAAATTATATTGTTAATTAAAATACTTACAATCACATAACTATGTAGACGGATTACTTGTATTGATAATTATATAGTATTTAAATGGACTAAACTAAAAAGAATTTATTTGATTTTTTTTACGAGAAATACATCTCTAACAAGGTTGTATTTAACTGCCATGACTAAATTTATTTCAAAATTCATAAATATTTAGATATTCAGTCTTGATCAATATTAACCTGAAAAATTTAAAAATGTAAGTTTTCAATTTAATATCAAAAACTATCAAATTTTATAGAATTTGTAATTTAATAGTGACTGACAATTAGAAATTACAGCTATTATGTAAAAAATATGTACCTATTACATAATCATAATATGCAATTTTTGGTTAGAATTATACAAATGTAGCATGAGGTACTCAATCTAAATGGATTAAGAAAGTAACATTTCTAGCATAATGAGTTTCAATAATTAATATAATATATATTAGAGTTTTAATACTAACTGCAATATTAAATTTAAAATTGAATCTTTTGCATATACTAAAAAAGCTTTATAACAACCATGGTAGCATTTTTCTTATCAAAAATATTTCACATATTATATTCCCACAAAAATTTAACAGAATTTTATAATCTTCTTAGTATAAGCACCTTTGATATAATAGTTAAAAATGACCTGACACATTATTAGAATCGAATATCATGAAACAAACATGACTTACTTATAAATTATTATCATAAATTGATTCAATAATAAGCATTCAAGAAGATACACGTGTGGTATATCAACAAAACGTAACAAACCATATTATACTCAGACTTTCATAATAGATGGTATATAACTACACCATATCGATACATATAAAACTTTTTCTCTTAAAAATCTTGATACTTAACTATTTAAAAGTAATTTAAGGATGAAAAATAGGTATAAATTAAATTTAAATAGATTAAATATCTTAATATTGTAATGGTACAATACATAATATACCTATTAAAGTTATGATTTGACAATTTGTACACCAAATTAATATCTAACTATAAACATAGGTACATTTGAAATCGCAACACTGAATGATATTCATATAGAGTACTTAGATAAATAAGAAGTATAGAAATTGTGTACACACAAATAACAAGAAACTAAAAGTAATAAACGTTAACCAAAATCAAATTGTTTTCATCAAACCAACATTGGTGTAACCATGGTAACAAAGTCTGACAGGCACAACTGAAATACAACACTGCAGCATGAAATATAGTTTTTCACTAATAAAATGGGAAATGCTACGATTTCGACAAATAAAAAACCTGAAGTACGATCTATGATAGTATCGTTACTTTAATTACCTGGCGCTGGTCCAGCGTGGTTGCACATTGTTTGACATTATTGTGGACTAGAATTCGGTGATAAATTTACTGCATCACATGCATTACGATAAAGGCCGTAACGCAGAATGTTGGAGTATGATGTGAGAGAAGATAATATGAGATCACTTGACGACAACGGTAATAATTACAGAATTCTTGTATGCACGCCGCCGCTTCATCGTTACTCGCTCTCCTGCAGGCTGCTATTTATTTGAATATACTATTTACATTACATTAATGTTAAATTTTTATTGATTTCCTACGCACAGAATGCCACAGGGCACAGATATGCGTATTACGTAACACAACCAAGTTCTAACGTAATAATAAATAATAATAACAACAATAATAAAATGTATAATATCTTTCGACAATGCTCCAACAATCACGAAAGCAGTGATATCACCGTTAATGAAATGACGAGCATTGACGAGTGACGACGATGAGACTAAAGTACAGTTTTCCCGATTTTGATAACAGCGAGATATCACCAAAATCAAATTTTAATAGATCAGTTATGCCAACATTAAAATAATAAGTTTCCCACATTATAATAATAAAAAAGTTTTTTCTAGCCGACATCAAATCATAAAAATCCTTATTTAAAATAACTAAAAACCACAAATATAAAGAATAAAAGTTTATTATACTTTATATCTGTGATAAAACCTAACTACCACTTACCAATAATAATTAGTGGATATCAATCCTGACTTAAATGTGAGTTAAAGGCCTGTATAAAATTGATTTAATTAAAAAAGTTTTTTCAAACACAAAATTAATTAAAAAGAAATTGTTTTAGACCATATTATTTTAAATATAATTGTGCATTATATTTCTTACTATAAAAATATGAATTTTCATTCAAACATAAATTTTTATACAATTTTAATCACATTCCATTGCATTGAGGCTCTCTTAAGTGTTATAAATGTGAAATATTGAAAATAAGTTCTCATCCATAAATTAGTATCATAATTACTTCAGTTGTACACGACAAAGCATTATAGTATTAACTATTAACTGTGGTATAGTTGTGGGGAGCGAGCAAAGGTATCATAATGAAATTTATTTCTAAACCATAAAATGAGTTTTTAATTAATTATTATTGATAAAAACAAAGTTAAATTTGATATAGGTACCTGCTATAAATTGAAAGAAGTGCGTAAAAGACTTCATTATCATGCTTTTTTATCATTTTGTTAGAAAGTGCAGTTTGTCTTGTATTAAATTTCCCTATATTTCCTATATTAACACATTATCTAATAAGAAATATGGGTACCTAATTGATACATTCATCATACACAAACTAAAATCTAAAATTTAACTTTTAAAAATATATCCAACACTTCTAACAAAGCTAATTATTTATTGAGATGAGTGTACTTACGGTTTATATGAATAAATAACAAAAAATTAGGTACCTTAGAAATTGATCTGTAAAGAACTAATTTAATCAGTTAGTAGCTATATTAAAATTTTTACATAAATTGAAATTCTACTAATTAATATTTTATTTCATTTCATAAGTTACATTAATTATAAATTAATAACAAATCAAAATTTTAAATATACTCAATACTTTTATCAATTTTCAATTTCATAAAATAATTTGCATATAAAAATATAACAATTAAAATATGAAACTATGTGATATTTAGAAACCAAATATTTGAATACCATTAATAATTATTGAACTTGTAATATTTATTGTTTGCCCAACTACACATATCACAATTAAAATATAAACTATAAATAAACTATTGAAAATAAAACTGTTTAATGAAACTATTACTGTTAATAAAAAATAAAAAGAAAGACATCACAGGAGAAAAAACATAAGCTATTAACATAATAAAAATAATAAATGACAGCAAAATTAAGTCCCCACTAAGTATAAAAAAAAAAAAAAACACATACAACAAATAATAACTAAAATTAAAATCACAAATCAAATGCAGTTCTCACAACAAAAAATATAAAAAAGTTTCATAGGTAATAAAAATAATAATCTCAAAATAAATTCAAAAACAAAAATTAAATCTATTCCTATTACTTAACAAATTATAAATTTATGACATAAAATATGTTTTATATACCTAACTAATTAATAGACAATACCTATTCTAAATAGTAAAAAGAGAATTGATTGAAATTACTAGTTAAGTAGTTACTAGTAATCTTATATTTCTAAATATTTTAAATGAATAAGATTTATATAAATTTAATTTTAAGAATACTAAAAAATAATGTACATAATATGTATTTTATTATTAAAATATCTCATTTACAAAACATAAAATTATATTAATATATTAAGATTTTTAAGAAAAAAATTTCAATACTTATCAATACATACTTAGTTTTTACTTAACAACTTATATCAAGGTATGAGTCCGATACCAGTCGGTATATTTCACTAATATACCTATTGCACATGTAACTTCCTAAACAATAAAGTTTAAAATTTAAATCTACATGTATTGATATGATCTAATTTCTTCCTTGAAAATTTTGATAATCCAGATGTTTATTGGTGATTTAAAGTTAAATTCATAAGACTTAAGAAATACAATCATATTAACATCATTTTTTAAATATTACAATATAATATTAAGCAATATCCAATAATACATGATTTGATCTAATCTCTAACTTATAATATTTTGATTATATATAATATAAACTTTATGATTTTCTTTAGTTCAAAAATAAACTAATACATTTTATTTTAAATCATCTGGCAAGGAATTTATTTTATTAATAATAAAAATCTTTTAGTTAACGAAAAAAAAATGTTATCATATGCTTATAGTTTGATATATTTTATACTTACTGTTATACACTTCAAAGAAATTAAAATAATTTATTACAAAATTTCTTACATAAATTATAATACTACAAAAATATATTTGTCATATACAGCTATAATGAAGTATACTTGTATTTTTCATAAAATAGAAACAAACAATAATGTTATATTATGTTAAACATTTTAATTTAAAAAAAATTAAAGGTTCTCTAATTTAAAGTTAACCTACAAATGAAAAAAAATTTATTTGAAACGTTATAACATTATATTCAATAAATCACTAGTTGTCGAACTTGAAATATTTACATTACACACATTTTTAGTTAATATTTTATTAAAAATAAGGTGATCTATAATTATCACTAATATATACTTTTATATTTTTATTAATACTATTTATAATATCTTTAATAATATAACACTATTTATTACTTTCACAAGGTAATAATAAAATTCTTTATTTTGAAAATAAATTTAGTATTTCAAACTTATTATTCTTTTACTTAGTCAAAATAAAATTGTAATCACTAAATAAACAAATATTAATGGTTATTAAGCATATTTTCTGTCTAATGATTTAATACACATGAAGTTTGAATACTAATTCTCAACTCATGAACATAAGTAAATAATGATTGAACCACAATATGTTTAATGTGAATAAAATATCTAAATTTTTAAGTATATTATTTAGTTTTAGTACTTGATTTCAAGTCCTAATTAGTTTAAATGATGTAGCAATAATAATTATAAACAAAAAAGATGACTAGAAAATATCAGTTGTTTTTTAACAAAAAATAAAATAAAATATTGAAAAAATGTAATTTACCTGTATATTTTTTTACTGATAAGTTAAAATGTAACTAGGAATAATAAATATTTAAATGTTTTTGTTTTTACTACGAGTGCTTTAAGATTATCAAAAATATATACATTTCAAAAGTATAATATTATTATCATGTGCATTTATTTTCTAAAAAAATAATTTTTATTTTTATTTTATAACTTTTAAATTTTAATTCATGAATATATTTTAGTTTATATTTCTGTTTTTGTTGTAATTGTATGATATATTTTATAATCTTATTTAATTTTACATTTTTTAATAAAATAAATATAAACTATAAGTTTGAAATTTCCATAGATAAAATTGTGTAAATAAAAAATTATAATTATACTTCTAGTTACATAATATCAATAAATGGGATGTCACTTTGTCTTTATTGAAGATATTAAAGTGAAAAAAATTTAAGAAAAGCTTGTGGTGGTATAGGTACATATAATGAATTTTTATCAACATCTTCAAGTTTTTCCATAAAATGTGGATCAGTGTCTGCAATACACGGATGTCCAATACTATGCCAGAATAAACATCTACAATTTCGGCATAGCTGTATCATTTCAGCATATTCTTCTCGTAATCCATAACATCTAAAATTATATTTTTATACTTACATAAACCAAATCATTGAAATATTATTAATAAAAATATTTAAATATGATAAGCTTACTTTCTTAACTTGTGATATATTAGCTGCCAGTCTTCACTGGTGCTTGGTGAGCTATCCATCACAGACTGTATTTGACGCGGACTAAAGTGAAATTGACATAGCTCACGCCAAATACGTAATTCATCCACTAAACGTGCCATTACACCCCATGCATGTGCTGAACGCTCCAGATCACGATGATCAGCTAATCGTAACAAGACCTCACGAACACATTCCTCTGGAAGTTGTTCAAATTGTGGTTCTTCGTTATCACCAGGCTAAAAACAAATTAAACATTTATGAAAACATTTAGTTTTAAAATTACCATAAAAATGAATATTACTTGGCGAATTTCTATTTGATCAGCTATTTCATGAATACGATTAATAGTAATCAAGTGTTGTTCCCATAAAATAGTTGATCCTAGTGGTCTGCCCCAACACGCACATTCAACAACCTCACGAAGTTGTCCTAAAAGACGGTCTAACATATGTTTGTTTTGTTGACTTTGAGATACTAAAATGAAAATAAATTAATTTAAATAATTATATAGAAACAATAATGAATTATTTTTAATGAACACATACCTTGGTGAGCGACTTCTTCAATTATATTAAAGAGAACCCTTTGAGCACAACCAGACAATGCATTTAGTCTATGAGATACTAGGAGATCAAGAAGTTTACAAATATAATGAAAACGACGAACATCATGCACAGCAGAACGAAAGTCTAATCGTTTAAGTGCCTCACTTAAACCATTAAACCCTGCAATCTAAAACATTAAAACATTTTACATATTTAGAGTTTTATAAGAATTATCATTTATGAACAAAAGTAAAACGGAATATTAAGTATTTAAAAAATTAAGCAATTGAAATCTAAAGTAATATATTAAGTTCTAAATTTTTACAATATTTAATGCATATTATTGTTACCTCTTTTGTACATTTTAGTGTAATATGACAATGAGGTTGTATAACACCATCATCTAAAACAAAATAATTGTATGTTATGTAGGTAATAAATAAATACTGATAGACTGCTCATATAGCTTTGTTCTCCCCTTCATCTTATGCGAAACTGCCCTACTATAAATAGTAATATGAATATCATATTTCTAAATACATATAA